GAAATTCAGTTGGTAACCAATTCTGAAATGAAGTACATAACCCCAGTAAACAGATTGTGTACTCAGGGAAGTGTACGGAGGGCTAAAGAACAGCATCAACCCAGACCTGCAGATTATAGGGCAGGCATGACCATGTCACCTGACGGGCCACCTGCTGCCACGTCCATTCCCCCCCTCCTGTTTCCATAAAAAGAATAAAGTGGAAAATAAAAACCTCCTGAAAGGGACCTCAGCATCTTGGCTTTTCATGTAAGAGAAAGGCAGTAGTTCCATGGAGATTTAGACTTGTATTCCCTTGGAAAAGTCCAGAGGACTGAAGCCTCATTCAGCCAAGTACTTAAGAACATGCCTTCTCTCAGAGCATCAGTTAAACTTCTGTTCAACTGCTTCAATTTAGTTAAAACCCCATAAAAGTGGTGAAGGCACATTGAGGCTTATAAATAAATGGCAATTTTTAGCATGCAGTATTTATTGTGTTTGTGTACATAATTCTGTGTCATTCTGCTAGAAGTTTTCAATGCTCTTTCAGAAAAGATTAATTATGGAAGTGATGCATTTTGATAGGATTACATAGCAAATATCTTAATACAAATATTTAATGCATTAATATTGCACAAGCTTATGAGATTTATATTGTTCTGTATTTATGTGTCGAAGAACCAAAATACTACTATTTTAGTTCTTTCCATACATTCCAGTCTGGGGTCTACACTTCAGACCCCTTTCACATTTAAGCAAATTTCCAACAATACCAAAGTTAGATATTGATATAAGTGTCTATACCCATGAATTCCATTACATAAATCTCATGGTTAAACCAGTGATGCATAAAATGTGATAAACAGTGTTTTCCTATTTATCAGGCTGAATTCTACGTTGGAAATGTATGTGTACCTCTCCCATAAATGTCTGAATTTGGCTCTAGTTATTCTGATTCCTTTGCTGTTGAATGAACCTGCCAACAAAGGAAACCTACTAAGTGCTCACTGTGGGAGGAAATGCAGTTCATAATTCAAAAATTCTAGTGGACCGTTCTGCTTCATTGTACCCACTTATGCCAGCAATGAGCTTTGGCCTTTCTGAATGTTGCATTTAATTGACTCATAAGCAATTTTAGAAATACTGCTGAACAAACAATGCCTTTCTTTCCTCCAGTGAAGAACTGAATATAAAAGCTTTACAGAACTTTTTTCTTCAATACTTGCCCAGCACAGTTGAACTTTCCTCAAAGGTAACTATGTGCTAGTTATCTATCATACACAGCTTTGCTAGTTTTATCTAATATTTGCAGCTTCTAACTGCAATATTTGTAGCACTGAGGACTATTACATTTTTTTGATAATGGCAACTTTCCAAGTTGCTGGATGTTTTCCAAAGTAATACTGTCAGCATTCTGATTGTAATGGTATATATTAGTTCCTCTCTGTAGATTCCATTTGTGTGTACTTGATTTAAAAAAATGCCAGAATTTGTACCTAATAAAAATTGTTAGCAATCTCCAAACTCTATTTAAAATTATACTGGCTATTAAAAAGTAATGTTTGGGTAGGAAATAGTTCTTCTCTACCAGAGGGAGGGAAACACACAAATAAGGTTGAAGTGAAAGAATGATACTTGTGTACGAACAATTGTTGCCAGGATAACAAAGACTACCATATTTTTTTGCATACCACATGCACCTTTCCCCCAAAAAATCAGGCCTCAGCTTGAGGTTGCATTAAGTAGAGAAACTGATTTTTCTTTGCTGATATATAAAAGCATGGAAGAATAGAACTGTGGAGAGACTGTTGCTAGATGGCTGCCAAGCTTCTCCCTCTGCCAGCCTCAGGGAAGGAGGGGACAAATTTTACCCTTTAGGATCAGAGCTCCAATGTTAGCCTTCTCACAGCACAGCCACTGTAATCAGGATCCTCTGCAGTCATCATACAGCCACAAGGGGGAAAAATGTTTTCTGCATTTTTGCCTTGAGACAAATTGCGTGTCTTACATTGGGGCAATGGTTTTCATTGAAAATAATCTAGTCTGTAAGCCTGCATGTTACAATGTGAACTCAGTAAGGGGTAAGGGGAGGTGGGAAGGCCAAACATACCTTCCTTTCAGGTCTTAATGATCATATGTAATATTCTGTGCCAGAGAAACATGAGTCTGAAGACTAAGTCGTTTATCCCTTTATATTTTACTGGAACTGCAATAGGTACATTATTATATGAAGGAGGCAGAAGGTAGACTCTCTATCAGGATGGAAGAGAAGGATTTCCATGTTACAACTAAGTTATCTTTCACTGGGACCACCTATGCGAATGTCATTGAAATGATGCACACACTGCCCCAGGTTAGTAACACCAAAGAAACTGCCAGAATCACTAGCTGCCCATCTAGTTTTCCAAAAAACGTATCCAGGAATACACTTACTAAACTATGAAGAGCTATTCTGTTGGATATATCAAGAGTTTTGCCACAGACTCTATTTGCAGCAGGAGCACATTGTTAGTGTACTATGGATTTAAGTTTGTTTAGTGTCCAGCAATTTGATTTGCTGTTTGTTAGTGAACACATGTAGCTAGTGTATGGCATATACAAATATATACTATAAACCATCTTAAAGTTGAGTGTGTGCCATCTCTTACCCCACATAGTTACTACATATACTTCCTATTCTAAATAGGAAAGAAAAAAGATAACTATCTATAACTGTTTATACTAACAGCCAGGCAGTGTTGGATTTTTTTAAAGATACAGCACTGTAGGCATATTAGAGAGAGTACTACAATTTATTCAGCCATTTACAGAGGTGAAGTATGTAATAAGCAAAAACAGATATTGTGAAGTATATACTCTACTACATATTTATAAATAAAAAGAGAACTTGACAACTGAAATGCATTCTTATTTATAGAAGAATTATGGCTCACAACACCACTATGCTAGATTGTGTACTAGTACTTACTAAAAGAATGATCCCTATATTCAAGAGCTTGTAGCCTCAAGATTACACATTTTTAGGTTTCCACGTTGCAAAAAGCATGAGGCTTAATGGGCTTACCTTCCTTTTGGCAGTTAAAAATCCTTCCAAAGCAGCTTGTGTTCATGACTAGTTATCAAAAAGATAACAGAACTCATATGTTGCGGCACATTACTCTGTGGAATGGCAAGGAAGTCAAGGTGACAGGCACTTACACTGGACTCTTCCCAAAGTTATCTGGAGATCATGATATTAAATGTAAGTTTCTAACCTCTCTAGTAAGTCCCACTAGCAGAAATAAAGGAAAGTAAAAGCCACAAAGCTAATTACATAAATGTCTTAATGCCATTTTGTGTCCAGGCCTATGAACCTCACTTAGCCACATTTCTAAGTGGATGCAAAGAGCGAGGACTTCTGGAGTGGGCCTTTGGTTTCTGTCCTCTGGGAAGAGAATGTAATGCTAGCCAGGTTACTTATGGCACTGTGTGAATGACTGAGTGTTCAGTTCCATGTCCACATAAAAATAAATAAAAATCTTTTAATTTTATCGGCAAATTGCAAAAAAAAATGGTTTTGGGTTGAACAGAATGTTCTGCTTTCCTCTGGAACGCTTGTAACTGCTTTGCAATAAGCATAAATAAAATGGGGAAGAAGCTAAGGGACAAAGATGCTATTCACTAAGGAGAAGAGGATGACAAGTTTACGGTTATTGTCACCTTTACCATAGCACAGTGGGAGGGCACTCCCCTGAGATTTGCGTTACATGGCTTTAAAGCCCCTCTCTACCAGTTTCAGAGCAAGGGCTTTATTTTAGTGCTCTCCCCGCATAGGAGAGGAACCACTATAACATTGAGGTTGGTTTCCCTCAGGCTGTACTGTTGCAGCTGTTCCATTTTGTACAAATATTTTATTCATAAGACCAGAGAGAGAAACCAGGACTCCCAGGGGACATTGTGTACATTACACAAAATATGGTGCAGTCACCAATTTTCAAAACTGAAATGACTAAAAAGGGCCACTAAACTAGTACTCCCAGGGGGTGTTGTGTTCCAGCACCCAGTACGTGGCAATGTCCCCATGTCTCCTGTCTAGAAAGACAATTCAGCTCTTAAAGCTTAGACTTCTAACATGAAAATACTGTTTACTGTGACCTAGCTTGATTGCCTTTTGAGGGTTAAAGGTTTCTCCTTTTCTAATAGAAGGTCATTCTGCCTTCATCCAATCAACTTTCCCAGCTTCTCCCTGTAGGGGTTCATTTTGGGGCAGATGTCACCATTTTGTTTATTATATGATGTATCTATTCAGAAATCAGGAACTTTTCCTTCCTCTCTATGAATCTTCATATTCAGTAGTATAAATTCATGCCACAAAAGTTACTTTCTGAAAAAGAAACATTATCTTGAGAGCCAGATTTTTGCTACTTCCCTTGAAGTGCCATGTCATGTTTTTTATCGTGAAAAATACAAGAAAACTGTTGTGTTTGGTGAAATTTAACTTATTTGAACTTTTTTTTTTAAGTGGAGCTTTCCCATCCTCTCTCTCTCCCTTTTCCCTGGCGTACCAATGTCAACATATACATGGAACATGCAGTGCACACTTATCAGGATGATATTACCATTGGCTGGAATGACAAGGACCAGGTACAATAGCACAGAACAGTTGTGCCAGGAGAATTGCATGGAGAATCAAATAGCTTTGAAAAAGCTAAAAGTAAAAGACTTTGAGCAGGAGAAAAACTGTTGACTTTCCATATAAGTCTCATTATACCTAATAAACTTATCAGATAAAATGATTCCTAAGTGCCAGAGCTATAGAAGACTCCTGTTTGCTGCAGAGGCTGGGACTGACAAACAGTTTTGTATTGGTCCCAGCCTCCCGCTGTAGCTGAGTCTCTTGATTGTATTACCTCCATAGAGCAATTGGACATTAGCTCAACATATGTCAGGTAGTATGATCTGGAGATACTCTTCACCAGGAAAGTCCTAACTTTGCTACACTAAGATAGCACTTAGCATGTGTTTTACTTCCTGAACTCTCAGGATACTAGCATTGTAAATGCAGTTAAACATGTCGCAAGTAACATGCAACAGGGCCTAAAAAGAGACAGTCAGAAGCAAAGTGGATATGGTTCAGAGAGTGGCTGTAGTAGTTCTAACACAAATGAAAGGAAGAAAACAGCTGCTAAGAACTGATGGAAGAGAATGGCATAATAGCTGAGGCCAAGAAGCAAGGGCATAGGCTGGAGGGAAGACAGATAAGGATCAAAGAGAAAGAAAGGAGCAAATCTTTGGGAATTTCAAAATCAGTTGGAGAATTCTGAATTAGATGGGAAGATGTTGTAGTTGAGGAGTCAGCTGAAAAGGATGAAGGGTTTTCCTCATGCGTTGAGGCATACTGAACTCACATGAACAGGAGTTGCACAGAAAGGTACACTATGTAAGGATGTTTTTAACATCAGTGATTAATCTTTAATCACAGGTTCTTCTTTCCTTTGATTTTTATTAGTTATCAGTAAAAATTAGAAATCTGGTCTGTGCTACATTTTGAATTGGTGTAACAGATACATCAGCAAATCCATTTTAAAAATAAATGATAAAAGGGTATAGTTAATAAAAATACCTTCATTATAGTATAGATATGCAAATAGCTTGTGGAGTTCAGAGTATACATAACTTGCAGTACATACAGTGAATCTGTATCTGAAATATAATCACCAGCCCTCTACGATTCTTATACTAGCATAATGTTATTTAAAGCATGTATAGTTCAAAGACCATTATTTTCTGAATTAAATGGGAAAAGCGGGGTATAAAACTTAGTCATAGAGGCACCTGAATTTGCATACAAAAAATATCAAGGTCCCTTGCAATAGTAAGCTCTATTTATGTAGGCTGAAAATCCTAATTTAATTTTAGAAGTGAGGTAGATATGGAAATACTTCAATGTAAAATAAAAAGAATTTTGTCATTCATGTCGGTTCTACACCTGTTGATCTTGACCAGGTATTAATCTCGTCTTCCCTGAAGTATGGAAGAGAACGTATTAAGTACCGAGCCACTGTCACTCACCCATTTAATTTCACCTTGAAGCAACTGGAGGTCAGTTCCTTGGGGGAAAGAAGAGATGGAAAATACAATCAGCAGGTACAACAGTCAGAAGTTCCGCAAAGTGAAAAATAATATTTATTGTATTTACTGGGTTTTTTTGAATTCCAAAACATTCCAGATTTTACTGTGTCTTGATTTTGGAGATACCACAATTCTTTCTTTTGCCAGGAAATTTTCTAAGATATTGTTCTGTGCAGCTCTGGGTAGTTGGTAACATTTTTTTCTGTATATAAAGTGGTCACTTTGGGAGATAGAAGTCAATCTCAGTGGATCACAGCAACTTGCACAACGGTGCACATCAAATGTATTTTGGCCAAGAACTGGTATTCAAACCCCTTCTTTAATGTCATAAATTCCTGAGCTCTGTAACATCCAACCAGAGTAAACAGAACCTCAGTTTTTAGGCTCTTTGCCTTCACCAGATATTGAAAGAAAGAATAACCAAGGTTATGGAAGTAAAATGGGACAAAACACAGCATTGGGTTTATCTGAGGAAGAATATGATTGCCTAATTTAATATCCTTCTATGACAAGAAAACTGACTTTTGGATAAGGGCAATGCAGTGAAGATAATTTACCTAGCTTTAAGCAAAGCTTTTGATACCATACCCCATGGGAAATTATTGGCCAAACTGGGGAGACAAGGATCAAGCACTACAATAATGAGGTGGAAAAGAAGCTGGTTCAAAAGGAGACTCTAGCAGGTTATGCTGAAAGATGTGTTATCTGAGTAGAGAACAGTTACCAATGGAGTTCCTCAAGGATTAATCCCAAGCTCTGTTCTGTTTAACATTTTTATTAAACAGAATAGATTGTACAGGAACTAGATGCATCCTTGTGAAATTTGCAGATGTGGTGTCTTGTCAATACAGAAGAGGATGAATTATCATTTATTATGCAAGATTTCCTTGTGGAATGGAGCATTAAACCATAATATCAGTGTGAAGTACAAAGTCATTTACTTACAGTCCTATAATAATGACTTTAGCTATTGTCATCAGCAGCCCCTTGATATGAGGATGAGTCTTCCAGTAAATAGGGAAGTCATCAATAAACCCATACATGACTGAGGTGGCCAATCTGAGATCCATGTGCTTGACTGCAGATGTAGCAAATAAACAGTTCCAGAAGGAAGGAGTGAATCCTGATGATGTCAGATCACAGCTCTTTCCCTTTGTGTCCCTTATCTACCTGCCTATATAGTGAGGAGATTTTGCTTAAAATGATCAAGCATTGGGGATGATTCAGTTCTTGAGTCTCCCAAGAATTGATGTTGTTATTGTATTTCTTCACATTGGTTTTCAATGTGTCCTTGAATTTCTTTCTGCCCGCTTCTAGAGTAGTGATCATTGGTGAGTTGGGACCTTTTTGGGGGGAGCTGGATGTCAGGGATCCTTACCATATGTCCTATACAATGGAGCTGGTGCTGTATAAATTTGACTTCAATGCTGGTGATATTTCCTTGAGCCAGAAGTTGTATTATAAGTTGGATACATAAATTTGAAGACAACTGAAGAGAAGGGCCTGTGTATATTGTTACTGTAGAAGACCATGAACTGTGTGATGCAGCTATGAAAAAGGCAAATATAATCCTGGGGTGTATTAGGTGGGTAAAGACGATGACAATCTAGTACCATTGTACAAGGGGTTGATTAAGACCCCAGGTAAAACATGGTGCAGTCATCAATTTTCAAAACTGAAATGAGTAAAAAGGGCCACTAAAATGGTTAAGGGAATGAAAAACTTTTTTTTATGAAAAAGGATTAAAGGAGCCTGTCTTATTTAGCTTAACTAAATGGGGCTCGGGAAGGGATATGATTACTTTTTATAAATATATACGTATGGGGAATATTAGAGAGAGAGAAAAGAGCTTATTAGGTTAAAAAGCAATACTAGAATGAGATCAAGTGACTACAAACTGGCTATGAGCAATTTTTTACAATGGAAATTAGAAGATCTCTGTGAGAGGACTGCATTTTGGAATGGTCTTTAGCATAAAATGCTGGAGATAAGGAACCTGATTTGTTTTAAGACTGAACACAATAAGTTTACTGAAGGGACAGTATGTTAGAACAATGAATTTTGGGGTTAATTGATACATGCAATCAAGTATTTGCAATCTTTATTTTTGGCCATAGAGTTAATTCTCTCATGGTGCATGAGCTGTGTGGTAATTCTATATTTTGAGGTCCTTTGCTGGTTGCTTGCAAGGGCCCCCCCCATCCATGCAGCCCGCAGTCCCCACCTGCCTTCATCCATGCAGCCCCGCAGTCCCTTTGGGAAGAGTCTACTAGGTTTGGCTGCAACTTCTAATCCTGGAGCCCAGGGACACTGTAGAAATCTATCTCTTCTGGTTTTAGATGCAGCTTGCATGGAATGGTGGACAGCCTGCTGATTTCAACATTTCTTTGGAAAACAAGTCTAAGAGCAGTATCACCAGCTGGAATGGTTGTATGACAGTTTCTTCAGGTCAGGTATGAATGTTTTGCTTTTATACTGTGAAGTAAGAGTTCTTTCCTTCTGTTGAACAAACCCAAGTTTTAGATTAAAAGTTGACTTTTCTAACCACACCACTAGAAAGGGTGAAATACAACTCTGAGGAATCTTTGCTGTATTTATTCCCCATCTAAAGCTGTCTCACCATTATACACTAATTCTGTTTTGCTGTTCAATTTATTTTAGCATTTAGGATGAAATTGATGCCTCTGCAGCATGAGTGACTGGTGCCTCCTGAATCTGGGGGGCACCCACAGAAGCCGCAGCTGGCATTGGCTTTGTCAGGGCAGGCACCAGCTCTG